GAGACTCTGCACCAGGCCACAGCCTCTGCCTCTGCTCAGGACCCTGTGCTAGAACTCAATTAGCCAAGAAAGTGGAGCCTAATGAGGAGCTGGGGCTGCAGGGAGCACTGGCAGAAAATGATTCTCATTCCCGGGATCTCAGGGCTCTGTCCTGCTTTTCCAGGATCAAGGAGCACCTGTTGTGAGCAAGGAGATCGAGGAGGACCTGCAGCACCTCCAGCCTTGCACCAGGAGCTAATCTAAGTCTAAAGTCTAATCGGGACTTCACTTCTATTTGGGACTCTGTGCTGAAAGCTTTTAGTGTGGGCTTGGACACTTGGGACTCTTGGCCTTTTGAGACTGATGTGCCTTTTACAACAAACAACTTCATAGCAACTAACTCAGCAGCTTTATAGCAACTAACTGCTCAGCCCTTTTGAAGAGATGTCATTCCCAGCACTGGCCCAGCCGTGCTGATTTTTCATCCTCTTGGATCCCTGGCAGAGCTGCAGGACACGGGGTGAGTTCCAGAGGTGTGTCAGACTCCTAAGAGGTGTCAATAACCCAGATTTTGCTGCTCTCTCCCCTCTGTTCGGGTCCCTCAGCAGTGACTGGTGAAGGACTCCCAGGTCAGGATTAAAACCCATCAATAATTGTTGTTCTTTCCTCCTTTCCCTTTGTGTTCCATGGATTTATGGAATTAGGGCTGGGAAGAAGAGGAGCCCTGGGTGTCCTGTTGCACAACGTTCTGATGAATCCGCGGGGAATTCTGTGCCAAAATCCTGTGAAATGAGCTCGGGGGGTGAGCTGAGCTCTCGAAGAGCTGGGGAGGGGATGGCACCTGGGGATTGTGCCAAGGCCTCTGCCAGGCCAAATTATCCAATATTTTCAGCAATGATCTGCAGGCAAATCACTGCTGATAACACCAGGACTGGCAGAGCAATCAACAACAAGGAAGATGCTGCAGTCAGAGCAACCTGATGCCCTAAATAATTCAGATTAATTCAAATGAGGTGGAATTGGAATCAAAATAAACTCAAGGTCACTTGTTGAGGAGAAAACAAATGAGGGCCAGGCTTGGGAAATACAAAATTATTTGTGGGAGCACAACAGGGCAGTGAGTCTGGGATGGGAGAGCTGAGCAGGAGCCCCATGGAAAATGGGGCTGAATATTAAATATTAAATATTAAAAGGGAATTATGGGGTGGCGAGTTGGGAACTGACTTTGCACGGGTCAGGGGCTGGCAGAAAGTCCTCGAATTTGGAACTGGCATTTTGGAAAGGTGATAAAACATCTGAGGGGGCAGCGGGAGCCCTGCCAAGGCTGTCAGGAGCAGCAGAGCTCCCCGGTTTTAGCTCATCCCAGGAAGATCAAGGGATAACTCAATTATTCCACCTAAAAACCACACCAGGGGAAAATAACGAGGTCTAAGGGGCTCTTAAATCATGCAGGGATGGACTGAATGCAGAGCATATATAATAACATACAGAATAACATAATGACATTTCTATATTTATATCTATATTTATATTTACATATTTATTTATATATTTATACATTTATATATTATATAAATGTTATCTATAATATAAAATATATTATATATTATATTCTATTTATTCTATCTATTCTATTCATGTTCTATTATTTATATTACATACACATATATCTACCTATATCTATATCTATCTATAAAACATATATATAATAACATAAAAACAGAGCAGCCCCATCCTGGCCCTGAGCAGCCACATCCTCTGGTTTTATCTGAGGTTTTGATTCAGGAATGATCCCTGATCAAACCCTGATTTTAACAGAGCCAAAATGGGGAAGAGGGATGGAATAAAAGCAGGAAAAAAAGGAGCCTTGTCCCTGCGTCCTGTTGGGTTTGGGTCCTGGCCAGGCTGTTGGTTCAGCTCCAAGGTCACACCTTGAGGAATGCAGGGAAATTCAGCTTTCACTGGCTGCTGGTGAAATGTTCCTGCTGCTGTGTGATCTAAACCCCTGTTCCCGTGTGAGCTGTGTGTCCCGGCTGGGGATGGAGCGGGTGGGGAAAAGGGAGACTCCAGCCTGGCTGGGGATGGGGACTCTCCATAGAATTTATGGAATCCTCAGGGTTTCATATTTAAAGGATTGGGATTTATGGGATTAGATGGGAAAGGGGCTCTGAGGAAACTTAGGGACAGAGTTTTGCACAGGTGTGAGGGCTGTGCTCAGGAATTCCAGGAAGAAACCTGGATTTGGGATTTTGGGATTCCAGTCTGATCTGCATCTCTGGGGTACCCTTGGAGGGGGTTCCTGGCCCACATCCCCCTGCTCCAGGCTGGGAGCACCAGCAGGGCCGGGACTGTGCTGCCCCCGCAGATCCTGGGGAATCCCAGTCTGGAATGACTCTGCAGCTTTCCTTGGATCTGCACTCTCCCTGTCCCCATGGCCACAGGAGCTCCAAATCCATGGGATGTGCCTGGAGCTGGGCTGGGGACTGGGAAAGGCACTGGGATTAGCCTGCAGGACCCCAGGGGAGCCTGGACAAAGGACTAGAAAATCCTGTGTCCTCTTGTCCTGGGTGGCAATGCAGGATGTGACCAGGGCTGTGTATTCCACCCCCAGCTGTTCACCCAGCTGTTGCAGTGTTCTTTATCTTGCCCACAGCCCATCCT